TGGAGCTGCCCACTTTCCTTTTGCAGGATATATAACAAGTGAATAGTTTCGACATTTGTTGCTACATTGCGACGAGGGTAAACTTATTTTCGTCTCTTCCTCATGGTCTCTGCAAAGGCTCCTGGCTCCCAAACTCTCCTCTTGCTCTTGCTGCCTCTGCCGAGTGGCAGCAGCTGCAGGGCACAGCAGCCATCCCTGCACCATCTAGAGCAGTTAGCTGGCTGACGTGTGCGCACACACACACATACACACAGTGCACGGTGCTGCGCCCCGGGCGATCAGCCGTCACTGACTGTTGGCCTTGACGTTACAGCCACTGACGTCCGCCGTCACCAGTGACGTCTGGTGACGGCGCACCGATCGGGGTGCAAGGTCTCAGCATCCACAGCACTGCCGGTAGCGGCTCCCTCCCTCCCCTCCCCCGTTCATCGTCTGGGCTCTGCCTTATCTCAGGTCAGCAGGCGGACCTGCTGCGCCGATTTGTGCCGCGGTACCGGCCCGGAGCTTAGTTCCGCAGATTGGGGCCGGAAACGACAGGAGAGCCGTGATCGGGCCAGTAGCGGTGTCTGCAGAGCTCAGAGATCGAGTACAGGATGAGGACTGTGGCCGCCGCGTTGGTCAAGACACTGGCATGATGCCTGCCCCGTTGGTATAGCAGGCGGTTCGTCCCCGACACATACTCGGTCGTCTTCGGTCGCTGAAATTATTCAAGGAGCGATATTGGCAGCCAACTTTACCGCCAGACGGGAACTCACAAGTTCCAAGAACCGACTGAACTGGGCTGCCTATGCGCAGTGATGTTTGCATGAGAAATTCGGAGACCTTCTGAAGGCGTGATTGGATTGCAGCATCTGCAATGCCTGCTCCGAATCATACCAGCTCTACGCAGCTGGCACCGCCACGGAAAACCCCCGGTTGCCGTCCCCTTTCGTACGTCTAGCCGGCGGGGCTCGGTCCACCCCGTTATCGCATGGCAATCCATTTGCGCTCATTGTGAATTCAGCGGCGATGGAGGGCCGTGGACACGCTACCGTAGGGCGGCGGTCGACGCGACAGGCCGACGGCCGTCGACCGTAGACACGCCGTGGGCTCAGTTTAATGTCGTAGGTAGCTGGTTGTGGCATTCATTCGCGGCCCGTGGGACCCTGTAATGGCCTCCAGGGGCCGGAAGGGGTGCTGACCGCAGCCTGTCGCCGCCGAGGACACGAAATTGGCGACTCTACGGACGTTTAAACGTCGCATGGGTACTTGGCTGGAAATTATGAGTGCTGCAGGGCTTCACTGCTAATAGGTCCAAAAAATGTAAAAAGTCACGCGTTGTTAATAGCATTGCTAACAACTAGCTAATGCAACCGTCGGTGGTAGTAGGTAGCATGGCTGATGTGCCGATTATTCAGATATGATTTTGATGCTTCGACTGCGGGATAGGTTACCGACAGGAAATGCGATCACCCTGATAACGTCACCCGTCCGTACCGGCGGTGACACGGTGGACCTCTGATGTCTGTCGGCGTGCCGGGTGATAATATTAATGTCATCCGATTCTGACAGTTGCCCGTAGTGCTAAATTTATCAAGATAGGTAATTATCGGAATTTACTTAGTTATTATACACGATTGACGAACACCTCGATGTCACTGGCACTGCTCATCGCTCTCCCCTGCCTACAGAGGCCGCCTCTCGCCCCGCGCGACGTTACAACGTCCCGGGGGCGGCGCTCCGCAGTCCGCAGCCAAGGCGGCGGCCTGGCTCCCTGCCGTCCGTGGTGGGGTAGGTCGGACGGCGTGATGCAACCGACGGCCGCGCCGGGCCGCTCCGGTCCGCCGCGGTCGGCCGTAACTCAGAGCGTGCCCCAATTATGGACGGCTAGACGTCGTGCCGCACGGCCGGCGCCGGCGAGCAGCACGAGGCCCGCTGCAACGGGCACGCCCATGGGTTGGCCTGGGGGCTGGTGGATGAGGATGGAGAAATGGGGACTGTGGGCTGTGGACTGGGCTGAAAACTGTGGACTGAGGGTTGTGAACTAGGGACGGTGGACGGTGGACTGTGAAGTGGATGATGCAGGTTCGATGAAGTGACGCGGCGCCCACGCCGGAGGCTAGATGCCGACATCTGACCCAATTACCTAAGTTTGGCCGTTTAACCCTAGAACGCCTAGGGGGGGGGGGTTGTATCAACCCCCCCCCCTGAGGTTTTTTCAAAGTGCACGCTAAACGGCTTGTCGTAGCGGGCTGAAATTTTCAATACCCTCTGGGGCAACCTTTGCGCATCTTTTGCCGAAAAAAAATTGATCGGGTCATGTCAGGTCACGGAGTTATGACGTCATAAGAGGTACAGCCTCCGGCCGACAGTTACCAAACGTGTGCGCCGAATCCCTAGGTTTTCTGCCGGTGATACCCACATTGTTTGATGGGTCATGATGAAACTTCCCATGCATGTTGGGGCAAGCATTGGCTATCGTGTGGTGCAAGAAAATTGACCGGGTCAGGTCAGGTCACGGAGCTATGACGTCACAAGAGGAACAGCGTCCGGTACTATTTTTGAAAAGCGCCCGAACCACTATTTTGCTAATTCTTGTCACCTCAATGGGAATATGCAGCAATATTAGCTTCTATAGGGAGCAAATGGACCTCCCAAATCCAAAAATACAATCAGATTTCAAAAATTTAAATTTTGATTTTTCGAATTTCTGCCGCCGACTGTGACCTTGCCGACTTCCGGCGCTCCCAACGCGCCATTTTTAGAGCTAGGGAAACGAAATACATACCAAACGATAGAGAATTGATCAAGGAACACGATAGTGAAGGTTTCAAGTCGATATCTCGCACCGTTTTGCCGCAATCGCCGCGGAAAGTTGAAAAAGTTTGATTTTTTTCGGAAAATTTGACCTTTGACCGGTCATAAGTAGGTCAAATGTTGACCTAGGACAAAAAAATATACCACCAATCGCGAGATCCCGTTGAGAGCAATCCGTTGGTTTTTTCCGCTAAGCTCTACGACCTTCCGTTTCGAAACGCCAGGGGGGGGGGGTCGTAACAACCCCCCCCCCCCTGGTCGTTCGTGTTATGAGAAATGGCCTGGTCGTGCGAGGGTTAAAATATTGTAGAGTGATGGAGGTTAGGAGATTGATCAGTTATCGTGCGATAGGTAGGTAAATTTGTATTGTGGAATTCATATTTTTGAGGTAAACCGCTTAAATACAGAAGCTTGGAAAATGAAAAACTCAGTGGTGTAGGCAATTTTGTTGATGACCAATTTTGTTCCGGAGATTAATCGAACGATAACGTCATCGAACGGTGACGTCATTGCTCTGTGACGTCATCACCGCGATACCGTCACCCGACACTGCAGCATTGGGTGGGTGTCGACTGAAGGCTGAAGGCCTGGGTGGGTGTGTTAGCTGTCAACTGACGGCTGCAGCTCTGGAAAGGTGTCAACCAACAGCTGCAGCTCCGGGAGGGTGCAGGAGCTGACGGCTGCCACTCCGATTGGCTGGCAGCCACCGCTGGCAGCCGGTGGCTGCAACTCGGGTGGCTGGCAGCTGGCGGTCGCAGCTCAGGCAGATGGCAGCTGACTGCTGCAGCTCTGGGTGGCTGATAGCTGTCAATGACAGTTCTAGACTGCTGGCAGCTGACAGTGGCAGCTCAGGCAGCTGACAGTGGTAGCTCACGCAGGTGACGGCTGGTGGTTGCAGCTTATGGCCGGTGCATGCAGCAGCTGACTGCTGCAGCTCTGGGTGGCTGGCAGCTGGTGGCTCCAGTTGTGCAGCAGTCTAGTCCCTCGGGAGGGCTTGATGGTTCTGAGAACTGACGAGTGACAACCGACTTTTCAGTGCATCGCTCGCTGCTGTCAGTGGACAGTGGGCAATTGAGCCGGAGCGTGCAGAACGCGGAAGGCTGAGTAGGCTGGCAAAAGGACAACAATTCCAGCTCCTCTGTCTGTCGTTGCTGCCACTCCGTCTGCCGGCCCTGCCCCGTCATCTGCCCCGTTCGTGCGCCAGTGCAGTGGCAGCGGCCCGGCGCCGACTGCCGACTGCCGGCTGCTGGCTCTCACCAGTCACCCGGCGGCACGGCAGCCCGTTGCGCAAGCTCCTCGGCCGGCTCCGCTCGTATGAATCCAGCCTTAATCGCCGCTCGGCAGCCAGCCAAGGGCGCTCCAAGGGCGCGCCGCGCCGCCCCGCCGCCTGACGGGGTTTCCTGTTGCACTCGCTCGGTTTGGTCGGTGACTGGAGCCGACCCGACCCGGTCCGGCCCGGCGCCAACTCACGCACACCGGATCAGCCGAGATGACATCAGTGCGGCGCTGAGCCTGCCGCAACAGAGCGCTGAGCTGAGCGCTGAGCCACCCGCTCAGACAGGGCCTACCTCAACTGGGAGCGGTCAGCGTCGAGCTGAGGGGCCATCCTGACAGGGCCGACCTCATCAGCGCCTAGGCAGAGGAGCAGCCCGCTCCTCCGGTAGAGCCTGTCTTACCATCACGGGACTGGACCTACATCAACTAAAAGTTGATTAATTAGTCTGCAACGCTTCCCACATTTTACACCGCTTGTCACCATTCCACTTTTGTCATCATTCCACCATTCGCCATCATTACCGTGCCGAAGTGCATGCCTCGCGAACCTGCTGCACGTCACAATGCAGTGGACGGGCATTGCCGACTGGTGTTGACAGCAATACGCGTCGAAAGGAGGGCGGACTCGCGAGGTGTTAGTGACCGGTCAAGGCCGATCGAGCGGGGAGCTGCAGCACTGCCGGGCCGCTCTGTTTCAAAGCCATATCGGTGACACCAGTTGTGAGATTTGACCCCGACGATGAAACTGTGACCCCTTGTGACAGTATTGATGACGTGATGTGAGACTGCCGCTTCTACCGATCTATGTAATGTGCGAGTTTACATAGTTGGATATAAAATAAAATTTCAGACGTTTACAGTATGCTCAGAACCCGATGCACACATTTACGTTCTTCATCGTTGACACGCCTGATTTCGATCTGTTTCAGAATTCGATCCGGCACAACTTGTCGCTACACAGCCGCTTCGTCAAGGTGCAGAACGAAGGCACCGGCAAGTCCTCCTGGTGGATGATCAACCCAGACGCCAAAACGGGCAAATGCACGCGCCGGAGAGCCACGCTCGAGACCTCCAAGTACGAGAAGAAGCGGGGCCGCGCCAAGAAGAAGGTGGACGCGCTGCGCTCGGGCATGGAGCACACGCCGTCGCCGTCCTCCTCGCTGGGTGACGGCCTGGACGTGCGGTTCCCGGAGAGTCCGCTGCACTCTGCGGGCGGCTACCTGGGCGCCCCGGGCGACTACCGGCAGCGCGCCGGCTCGACGGCCTCCTCGTGCGGCCGGCTGTCGCCGCTGGCCGCCTGGCCGTACCGACACCGGCTCGACTCGTACCAGCAGGAGCAGCTGGCCGAATCCATCGACGGCGGACTCAAGTTTGAGTCGGCCGTGCCGCTGGCCTACCGGGGCATCAACGGCTACGGCATGTACGGCGGCGGCGCGCCGGCCGGCGGCCCCTTCTCCCCGGGCGGCCTGATGGCGGGCCCGAGCGGCCGGCCAGCCGACCAGCCGGGCGACCACTACAATGGCATGCAGGTGAGAATAACGGGCACTGCAACGGCATGCAGGTGAGAATAATGGGCACTACAGCGGCATGCAGGTGAGGGCACTGAGCACTTCAGTGGCCTGCAGGTGAGGTTACTGGACATTATACCTATCAGCGGCCTGCAGGTGAGTTTACTATACACTTTAGCTGGTAACAGGTAAGAGCATGTAGGTAACACTACAACGGCCTGCGGGTGAGGGTACCGACTACTGATCACTACAGCAGCAAGCAGGTAAAGCGTCAAAGATTTATATATGGCTTCCAAATGGATTCCGATAAAACGCAAAAAAGGCCCAATGCTGCTTGCGTTTTACTTGCGGTGTAGTTTTACCTTATCATTTCTATGCTCTCTATTTTGTTTTTAATACAATGTCCACCGAAATTTTCTAGAAATAAATACTTAAAATACGACTGAACCGAATTTTTGAACCCATGTCCTGTGTTAAGTCTAACAAAGTGTATTTAATTAGAATTGAAATGTAGTTGAACGAGCATGCTAATTGTTATAAATCTCCCGGTAAACTTTACATACCTGTTATTTGGGCGTTGACACACTTTCACGCCCTGTTCCCTTTTCTTTTCGTCCCTCTTCTCTCTTTTACGTCATTATGCCGTTCCTGAACCTATTATTTTTCCTATTTTTCTATTTCATGCAATGCCAGATGAAATATGCGACGCATATCTAGAATTTCTTTATGATGACCTATACATTTCTCGTCAGTCTGCGACGGCAGTAACTCAAACGACCGTAATATCCAGCTCTGCCCCAAGTAATACGAAGGGACATAAAAGTTATTAATGTCCGCAGTTTGTAGAATTGCTCCGGACTTCCAGAGGCCATTCTGGATTTAGAGAGCGGGCCGCGATGGGTTTTATTGGCCTCCAGATGGCACGTCGGTCGCCGCTGTGACGGCTCGATCCCGGGATGGCATCCATTCTGCAGTCCCCTGCAGATGGCACCGCGCGATCTTGGCGGCTCGGCTGAGCTGAATTTGACCTATTTCAGTTTTACCGACGGCTGGACATCAGCTACCTCAATTCTACCGTCGGCTGGACCTAACCTGCCTCAATCCTACAGTTCTACCGACGGCTGGGCCTGACCTACCTCAATTCAGCCGTCGGCTGGACCTGACCTGCCTCACTGGTATCGTCGGCTGGACCTGACCTACCTCACTGGTATCGTCGGCTGGACCTGACCTGCCTCACTGGTATCGTCGGCTGGACCGGCAGCTGCGCCTGACCTACCTCACTCCCGCCGTCGCGTCGGTTAGGACTGACCTGCCTTACACCGGGGAGTCATCCAGGCTAGGACTGACCTGTCTCAGTCGCGGGGCTAGCAATGACTGAGTTTTCGTACACCCGAGCTGGGTTGGAATTTCAGAAGCACCGACCCGAAAGCATGCGTTCCCACATTTATACGCTTGAAAAAAGCGTGCTCCATTAAGAACGGGTCAAGTAAAATCTAAAAAGTCGTTGAGAGTGTTGCACTTATTGCTGCTGTTCACATTGCATGAAAGTCAATCGTCATCAGCAGTGTTTGTGTCAGCACGCTTCGATATCGACTTCTCTGTGTGCTGACTGCCGTTCCCCTCTCTCCTCGTGTTTCTCAGTCGGTGTCCCCGGCGGCCAGCGTCAGCAGCATGTCTCCCAGTCAGACGGTGGAGCAGTACCACTCGGCGGCGGCGGCGGCGGCGGCGGCGGCGGCCGAGGCGGCCGGCCTCTACCACAGCGGCCTGCCCGTCAGCAGCGGTGCACCGTTCGCCGGCTCGCCCAGCTACAGCTCGCCCGTCTCGTCGTTCGGCGCGTCGCCCTCGACGCTGTTCAGCTCGTCATCGTCGTCGGGCGGCAGCTACACGCCGGGTGCCGGGTTCGGCGGCGGCGCGTTCGCCGAGCCGCCGCCGCCGCCGCCCGTCAGCAGCCAGGCGCAGCAGCCGCCCTCGGTGGGCGGGGGCAGCCTGCGCGCGCCGGGTCGCTCAGAGGAGGCGCAGACACCCTCCCAGCTCATGTCGAACGTCATGGGGCTGCTGCAGCAGAACAACATGCCCGTCGACCTCGACCTGGACACCTTCCAGGGCGGCTTCGACTGCGACGTCGACAACATCATCAAGCAGGAGCTCAGCATGGAGGGCAACCTGGACTTCACGTTCAACCAGGCGGCGGCAGCGCAGGCGGCGGCGGCAGCAGCGGCGGCGCACCACCGGGGCCTGCCGGGCGACGCTCGCCACCACGGCTCCGGCTACGTCAGCGGGCCCGGGCCGCGGCACTGGCAACACCTCAACCCGCCGCTGGTAGACTAGACATTTTGTGAGTACCGACCCGAGGACGTAGTTCGTCTGCATGTGCGCCGCATGCCGCAGCCTGATCGGCCCCCGGGCTGTCCACTGACCCGACCGAACCTCGGTCGGCCGCTCCTGTCTGCGGGTGACAGATGAATGCGGCCGCAGGTCTGGATCTGTGACCGTCAAATAATGGGCCTGCTCCGGTCTCCCCTGAATGACAGGCCTGTCTTATAGGGAGGTCCTCCCGGGAGGTCTTATATGGCGGGCTCCCATTTTGTCCTCTCTGTATTGTGAGGAGCCGCCAGCAGCCCGCCGTCGCATGTGGTCTCTATTGCGATTGAAGCACACCCCGTGGCCGAGATATGTTGTTGGGGTGCATGTGAGGTATATTCTTTATGTGAGTGGCATGCACGAGTCGACCGCTGACGCAGCGGGGCGCCGTCATATTGAGTGTCTGTGTTTTAATTGGGAAGCCTGTGAGCTTTCGGATGTTATGTTTTATCGCAGCTGCACTTCTTTGGTTTCTGTTTCGTGTTCTTCCGTAACGGCATGCTCTCAATCAAGAAGCAAAAGCGTAATAAACTGACAGCATCTGTAGTCGTGCTTTTTTCCTGTAATGCGCACCATCTCGCAATATTCGCCTGCTTTTGCATGATAACTCTCCGAACCGTGTGGTGCGAGCTTCGCATCCTGTCTGCCGGATTCTTTTGATTTCCAGTTTTGATGCGGCATCACATCGAACGCCGAGGCTATGCATATGTTGCTGGCTCTCACAGCCTTTAATTAAATTCAACGTCAATCCATCTTTGAAGTTGCGTGCGCGTTGAGCGCTTCGGTGGTCATCGCCGGCATTGGCCTGTCACTGAGGTGCGCTGCGGCCGACTGTGCTGATGCGCCGCTCAGCTCACTCGGCCAATCATTTAATCAGCTCGCCGGTGACCGCTGGTGACGGCGGGCACAGGCGGAGTTGAAGCTGCGGGTAATTTCCAGCGCTGACGGGCGCTGAGGCGGGTATCACGGCTCCCGGCAGACGCTGACGACGGTCACATTTCCTGAGCCGAGTCGTCGCCCAGTGCCGGCGAGCGCGCGGCCGCCAGCTAAATCCTGAATCTCATTTCCTGTCGAAATTTACGGCCCATCATTGGCGATTTAAATGAACGGCAAATTACGTGTAAAGGTTTTCGGTGCGGCGAAATTAGTTTCATTTGACGAGTGCGCGGCCGGCCGGCGCGCTGAAGCCTTTCGGTTTTAATCAGAGCGCGAAGGGGCTGCCGGCTGGCGCGGCGGCCGCCGCGGAGGAGCGGCGCCGTATTGATTCGCCGCGGCGGCCCCTCAGGGCGCGGCCGAACCGGGGTGACGTGCCCTCGCCGGCCCCGCTGAACCGCCGACTGGCCGAGCGGCGCCGCACCGACCGCCGCAGAAAATTAGATCAAAAGTAGCATGCCTAAATGACTTTGAAGATTAACGCGGTGCATGCCAACGAGGCCAACTAAAAATTACCCAATCTCTGTTGGAAAATGCAGGTCGTCTGACTTCGTGAGCTGACTGCCTGCACTTACTTTTTCTTATCTTTGGAATAGGGGTGGGGCGCTTTTGCGCCGATAATACTCGAGAAAGGCTATCGTCCCCAGCTTCTCCGACCTCTTCTCGCGCCATTTTTCGTCTTTTCGCTCGCTTGATTTGGCCGCGAGCGATCGGCTGGAAAGGACTGCTCGTTATGTCGCGGCTAGGGTGCCGGCTCGCGGTCGAACGCCCCCTGCTGGCCGGTGGAGTGCTGATGAGCTCGGTTTGGGACCATTCCTTTCTTAGCTCAAAATGCACCGACTCGAGGAGACACACGCGCCGCACGACTTCAAAAAGATGATCTGCTGTCATCGACCGATCACTACCGCGACCCTTCGACCCTCCCACCAGCGGGCCTAATCACGATGTCTCATATTTCCTCAACTTGGGCCGTAAACTTCCATCTACTCGCAGAAAACATGGTCGTTTCGTAGCTGTCATATCTCTGGAGCGGCCATCGATAGGAAAAGGACGTCGGACGGGACGTTGAGAGACCGTCCATCTGAAAGCCGGACAAGCGAGCAGAAACGAGCTATAGCTCATCGCTCGTCATCGCTCTGACTGGACGACTGTCGCACAGACGCGCTGTCGAGACCAACAGACCGAAATGACTGCCGCACTGCCGGACGAACGTTCACTCCGACAAACGCACTGTCGAAACCAACAGACCGAGATGCTGTATCTGTCAGCATGTCTGGCCAGTTTTGATGCCAGACCAGACCAATCTGGCCAGACCAATCCCGTCTTAAACCTATATAACAAGAAATGACAAACTTCGGGCAAATAAAAAGAGGTAACGGATTCTGGTGAATGGATAAGATAATAAAGTAATGTGACAGTTCAGCATGGCATAAATCGTCAACATAACGTAGAAGTCTGTCAAGATTAGCTGTACCTACATAATTCGTCGAAAATGGAAAATTAAGTTCAGGGCCGTTAACCGATCCAACATCAATATAAAAAAGTTTATTCGCTTTAGTAAATTGTGCTAAATAAATCGTACGCTCATCTCCCGGCGAGTACCTACCATGCTGAAAGTTGGATTTCATCAGGGGCCATCTCCGAATGGGTCATTCGCTGCCGATATTGGCAATAAAGGGGCCACGGCTTCGAGCCTGCAGAGGTCGTCATTGGCTACCGTCAGCAACTAAAGCCGATCGGGCGGCGCTGAAACGCACCCGGGCACGCAGCGGCCAGCCGTCGAAAGAAAAAATCACTGGCGTTCGACTCCGGTCCGAATTGGTGGCGAAATATTGACATCGTTAGTGGTTCGGGTGGGATAAATGGGAGCGGGTCAGCCGGTCGGCGGGTGAGCTGCCGAGCGATAGGCTGGTCGGGTGGACCTTCAGCCGGGCGGGGTGTGCCGGACCGAGCCTCACAGAGTCCGCACCGGACTTGACATAGTCTGAACTGGATGCACAGAGTTATGGAGTCCGTACCGGACCTCACAGTGTTTTTGCCGGACCTCACAGGGGCTACATGCAACTATTCATGCCTGCCTTGTTTCGGGTTTGAACTAACTCAATTATATCGTCAGACCTTATTTCCAGCGCCCACTTGTAACCCATGGACCGACAGAGATAACCTTTTTCCTACCCGTGACATGACCGAAGACGTTGGTATAATGCCGTCCGCCCTGCCAATCGTTCCCTGGTCTAGGACCGCAGCCCATCAGTCGCGTTTTTTGTTAGGTCGCTATACTGAAACGAACGGGGACGTAGCCCACCAGCAGACGAAGTCTGCGCTCTCAGTCGCCTCGGCGATACATCGCCGGTGGCAATATCGCCCGGGGCAGAAATGGAGACTGCGGAGTGCGCCGCTCGGCTGGCCGCCGAGGGAGAACAAAAACGACGGCCACTCGATGGGAGGTGGCCGTCCGCCGCTCGAGTCCCCTCACGCTGTGACCGACGCAGCCCCGGTCAGACCATCGGCCAGACTGCTCCGACAGTGTCAGTGCGGTATCGCGGATCACAGCACGTCTGGTGAAAACCGATACGAGACAGAGAGCTGAGTGAGTTGATATTTTCACTATAATAAAAATCGGTGGATAGCGGTATAGTGCGCTGCACCACGAGCCTCCAAGCTTGCCAACGTTTCAGCCTGTAATCCTGCATGGCAGCGTGATGGCCCACTGTCCGCAGTCCAGGGCTGTGGGTCACGCCACCACCGACCTCACGTTCTTACGGACAGCGGGTCGCCTCCGAGCCGTTTTTAGCGTCGCCCGCGGGACCTTGGTCGTGCAGACAATGGGTCGGTGTGGGAGTCGGGACGGTTGCAGCGCACTGCAGTGTGCAGGCGGGGTGCACCGCACTCCCGGCGCTGTCTCCGGCCCTGTCACACGCCTGTCTGGTGTCAGCACGATGTCACACGCCTGTCTGATGTCAGACGGACATCAGGCGAGATGATGTGCCGTCGTGGAGTCGACGGTCACCAGTCCGGTTTCTCGTCACAGTCAGCCGATACAGCCAGCTGGTATAGTCAGCTAGACTACTGCTTATAATCAGCCCAGCTAGCGCTGATTATATGCAGTTCCGGTACAGTCAGCTGGTAATGCGTAGTCAGATTATAAGCTGGTAAATCTGGCCGGTACAGTCACCCCGCCGCCTCTCGTCGCCAGCCATCGCCGGCGGCGCCGCGGTCCACCACTGAACGCCTTTGATGTTGTCAGCGACGGCACCTGTTGCGGAGGGGAAACAGGCTGGCAGAGGAAGGGATGTGACCGCCGCGCACCAGCCCAGGGGCGGACCGTGTCGACTGCGGCAGGCCTGTCCAGCCTGCGCTGGAGCCGTGCCACTAGGTGACCTGGAGCCGGGTACCCCGCCCCCTCCCCCGGTCACTGTATACCGGATATGGCACGGCCACGCCGCGACCGGCGACCGGCTGAAAGCCGCCATTTCAGCACACACCGAATGAGAAAAGTTACGGCTCGCCATTTATTCCCTTCGTCGTTTTTTGTCGTCAATAGCGATCAGGCCGTGTGAGTTTAATGGTTGGATCGATGCGGGATCGCCGACGGCGCCGGCACTGGCGCGCGCGCCGTCGCTGCCGCCGGCGCCGGCGGCCGTGGTATATGCTAAGTGGCGGCCGTGTGCGCCGCTGGAGCGGGCGCCGCGCCGTATAATGGACGCCCCAGGGACGACCAGTCAGCCGCCAACCAGGTGTCATCCGACCAGCCCAATAATTGGCATTTTACGGCGGCCTACCTCAATTATTTGAGACGTTTGCTTTGTGCGCCGTGCGTTTACCGTTCAGCCCGCTAGGCGACCGTCTTTGAGTCAGCCTTCCAACGTAAATCTGCATTGCAAAGTGACCTGCAAGTTAAATGAGCTAACTTTTCGAAGGGATCTAACTTTTCACATTTGTCTTGCGTCGGAGGCCGGACTGCGTACCTGACCTGACTCAATTACGAGTCGGAGGGAGCAACACGCAGTCGCGACGCGCCGCCGCCGCCGCCACCGCTGC